TAGCCACCCACTGATAGGGGGTGTTCCATGGGGAGAAAAATCCTTTGTCATTGAGCCAAGGACTTTAACCAATTAAGAGGTCAGCCAATGGGGAAGGAGGCAAAGAAATGGAAAAGCCCAAGCCCTTTCTCTCCATCCTTTCTCTCTCCAGGTACCATGGGGGGGCTCTTCACTGATGAGGAGACCACAGTCCCTGAGGATGTCAACAAGTGGACTGTAGATGATGTCTGCAACTTCGTGGGGGGCCTTTCTGGCTGTAGCGAGTATGCCAGGGTGAGGGGAGTGGCAGGTCCCTAGGGCTAGGCCAAGAGGCCCAGTTCTGGGCAATGTCCCAGTCTCTACACCCCACAAAAAAGAACTTTCCTTTTGCTGAGTTATTTTTACATGCAAGACATACAACTCTACTCTATGGGCCTAACTTGTCCCCAGGTATTCAGAGAACAAGGAATAGATGGAGAAACTTTGCCTCTACTGACAGAAGAGCACCTTCTGAACACCATGGGACTGAAGCTAGGGCCTGCCCTCAAGATCAGGGCACAAGTAAGTATGTCCAGTGCTTTCATCAATCTAGAGAGGGCATAAGGATTCTTTGTACCTGGAACTGTTTTCCTTTGCCCCTTTACTTAGCAGGTATTCACCCAGCTTCATCTCTTTGTAGGTGGCCAAGCGCCTGGGCCGTGTCTTCTATATGGCCAGCTTCCCTGTGGCCCTGCCGCTGCAGCCACCAAGCCTGCAAGCACCTGAGCTCAGCCCAGGACAGCAACCCCTGTCCCCAGCAACCACCACCTCCCCATATGAAGGGACTCACCTGCCCACAAGCCAAGCCTCACCCAAGCAGGAGAATGGGTCAGGGACCATAGCTCTGCTCCCAGGGGCCCCAGATCCTTCCCAGCTTCTCTAATGATCTAGCAGGCAACTGTAATACTCCCTAATACCCAGTGAAATTGGCCACCCCACCCACAGGGTATTTCCCTCTTTTAGATGCAAAAACGCCAAGAGTATTTTTAAAAGAAAAACATACGGCTTAAGAAGAAAATAATGGATTTACCTTCTAGGAGTAACTGCAGTGGTCTGCAGACAAACCAAAGACAGACAAAGTGGAGAGGCTATGGAGCCACCCTCCCCACTCTGAACTGGGACAACTCTGCAGGTCAGGGTCAGCCTCCTGCTTGGGGCAGCAGAAGGCTCTGCAGAAACAGTTTCCTTTCAGGGTCAAAATGGCTCTTAGTATATTTGTTCTGTTGTGCTGTAACAATAAAATCCTGTTTAATGTCTACTGTCCTCTTGCTGCACAGTCGTCCTCAAGGCCTCCAGGAGCCTCAGTCCTCTTCTGAGAGCTGAAGATCCTCCAGCTCATCCTGCGGTCCCTGAGCCAGCTGCCACAGTTCACTCAGATCCACCCCTGGGTCTGTGTCTCCATCTACAGAGAAAGAAGAGACTACATAAATTCTGCTAGATCATGAAAAAGCCAGCCTTAGAAGTCACTTACTCAAAACAAAAACAAAAACAAAGCAAAACAAAACAAAAGCCGGGCAGTGGTGGCGCACGCCTTTAATCCTAGCACTTGGGAAGCAGAGGCAGGCGGATTTCTGAGTTCGAGGCCAGCCTGGTCTATAGAATGAGTTCCAGGACAGCCTGGGCTATACAGAAAAACCCTGTATCGAAAAAACAAAAAACCCCTAAAAAACAAAAAAACCCCAAAAAACAAAAAAAAAGAAGTTACTTACTCATCACTAATTAATTACAGCATTAATTAAATTTATCATCATGCTATATAGCTGGTTGCTAGAAAGTACACAGCAGCTGGCCTGGAAGGGGCATAAGCCTGGCTTAGAGCTGTGTTCCCATGGCCTTGCCTCCAGACAGACTCCAGGGCCAGTCTATTTCATAATAGAAACCATTTACCCTCTGAATTGCTGGCACCTTCTTCTTTATCTTCTTCCTCCTGATCATCTTTCATTCCTCGGTGAGCTTCCAGGAGCCCAGGAACTTCTGCAAATGAAGAAACACACAACTCCAGGTGCAATAACAGGGCAAGATGAGCAGCTACAAAGGAGAGCTGGCTAGTCCAGTAGCCCTCTGGACATCCAATAGGGCCCCAGGCCTCAGCAGTGGCAAGGGGGCCACTAGCCCTTTCTGCCACCCATATAGAGGCCCCAGCATGGTGACAATTACCAATATTGAGTCCCCAGCTTAAATATAAGGGGCCAATGAGTAGTATAAGAAACACATCTAGAGGCTAGAGAGATGGCTCAGTGGTTTAAGGACCTGGGTTTGACTCCCAGTGCCCACATGGAGACTTACAACTGTCTCTAACTCTAGTCTCAGGGGATATGTGATACAGACATACATGTAGGCAAAACACACAGACATAAAAATTAAAAACAACAAAACAGGTCTGCTCACTAAACAACAAAACAGGTCTGCTCACTAACCAGACATGAATGCTCCAGACACACCCAGCTCGTAACCAATCCCACCTCACCTCTCTCAAAGAAGTCTGTGCTGTCCTCTCCCTCAGAACTGTCCAACTCAAACAGGTCTTTTAATTCTTTCCTATCTTCATCCTTCCTGTCTTCCACTTTCCGCCTTTTGATCTCTGGGAAGTTCAGGTCTTCTAGCTTCAAGGACCAAAAACAGAACAAATAATGAGGGTAGGGAAAGTCCAAGAAAACTGGGTTAGCCCAGCCCCACCTCAGGTACCATCTATAGCAACACATGGGACCAGCTATCTGGCAGGTAAACAGCAATTTACAGGCTTCACTCAAACTCACCTTTCTTTTTTCCCTCTTGCTTTGGTTTCCTTTTCCAACTTCACTCCCTCAGCCCTTTACAAATAACCTGCTTGACCCCCAGCCATACCCGCTCTTTGCCACTGATCTCCAGCTGGATCTCACGGTCCCTCAGCTTCTTCCAGTGGCTGTAGTATCTGGTGAGAGGGGTCCCCTCTTCTCGGACCTGCTTCTCCCAAGCATCCTAAGGATTGGGTAAATTCAGGACCATGATCATCCTGGGAAACCCTTAAACACCTACCACACCCTAATTGTTGACCTCAGGCAGCACCATTCCAGTGCAGATGCCAAGTTCCAACCCACCACTGCCAGCTGGTCAGACACGCTGAAAGTCACTCTCTGTCGAAGGCTTTGGATATATTCTGTGTTCTCTTGCACTTTCTCCAGCAGCTGGCGCACCTGCCGGCAGTAGTTAGCCACTTTGCACTCCCGGAGAAAAGATTTCAGCTGCAGAAAGGAAGGACTTAGTACAGCTCCAGTGATAGTTCCTTCCAGTCCTCACCCCCGAGTGGGTCCAAGCAGTAAAAAGCCATGTGACAATCACAAGGAGACATAAGGACCTGCTATCAATCTCTTAATTAGGTCTCACAGGCATAAGACCTTGCTCATGTGCTTTACTCATGTGCTTGTCTGAGTGCTACTGCAACAGCCTGAGAGCTATGAAAAGTCATAAAACCTTAATTTTTTTTTTTTTTGCTATTTTGATTTTAACTGAAACATATCTGCTAACTCCTACTCTAGATCTACACGTCCATACACCTAAAATGTTGAACCTAAAACTAAAAGTGTCCTGACTACCTGACATCATCAGCCAAGAGGACATAGGGGGAGGTCAATGCCACATAATGCAACCAATAGTGATAGAGCCCATGTGCATAGCTATATATGCAATTTCTGCCTTCACACATACACCTGTGTCTATATGAGCTTGACACAGGTATAGCTCAGGTATGAGCAACACCCCAATACCAACAAGCCTATGAGTAATCCCTTACGAGTACCACAAAGGGACAGCACTAGCCTCCTCCTATGAGAAGGGCCTGAGATGGGAAATAGCTGAGCTAAGAGCAAACAGATTCTCAGAAGGGGTAGAGAGAGAGCTGAAAAGAGGGAGAACTGCATTTCACTACTAGGACCACCTAGGAAAGCAAAATGGGCACCAGACCAACCCAGGCTTTAGACTTCCATAGTCTATGGTAGGCTCCAGACAGCTTAGGTAAGGGTCTATAAATTCTTGAGACCCTGATTAAGTTACCCAGACCTGACCCAACTTTGCCAGTGGCTAATAATCCTTTACAAGTTAATTCCACAGTCCCCAGAGAAAAGCTCAAGCCACCAAGGCAAATGATCACTCTCTCCCCACACTGGCACCAATGAATCTGGCACCAGGTAGCTGTATAAACATGGTGTTGCTACTGGTCTTCTAGGACTAGAACGTAAGGGGAAAACAAACCTACTAAAAGATTGTACAAGTTAGCCACAAAGAGGATGCCAAGGTCTGGCCAGGGAAAGGAAGTCAGGTGTTGAGCACATACCTGTAGAACAGTAGGCAGCACCAACTCTGGGAAAGCGATGCTATGGGCCTGGCTATGCAGGTATTCCAGAATAAGGTCATATAGCTGTTCCAGTAGGCCATCCTAAGGGGGCAGGCCCAACTTCATTAGATGATGAAGCCCAGTAGCCCATGATCTTATATTTCACCCCAATTCTGCTAAATCTCCAAGACCAGGGCTATAAAACAGTACTCACAACCTCCCCCAAGCCACACCCAGCTTCAGACTAAGATTAAGGAGTCATTGGTCTATGACTACAAAAACCACAATCTCAGTATTTGAGAGGTGAGTTTACAGGTGAGCCTTATCTATATGGCAAGTTCCAGGGCAGCAAGGGCTACATAATAGAGAGATCTGGTCTCAAAAGAAACCACAAATGCTGCACAATGGGAATCCCTTGCTTGCCTGAAGTACTAGTGAGCCAACTAAAACATAGCCCCAGGCTTTTCCCAGAAGACCTTGAGGTCAGCCTCACCCGGTATGCCTTCTCCTGCAGGTTGGTGCTGGACAGCTTCAAGATCACAGAGAAGTTGATGGGCTTGGAGCTCATGCGGCCTGGCCGCCTATTGAAGTCCACCTGCTGGAAAATCTACCCACAGAGTGTCAGCCCAACCCAAAGAGATCCCCCAAGACCAGGCTGTACAACTAAAGACAACTCAACACCAGAGATGCCTCCAGACCCTGTTCATCTTCCAGAGCCCTGAGCCCCTTGACAGATAACAATAAGGACTCCTGTATACACACTTAACCACCTTTAGAGACAGTGGTTATATGAATCTGGGCCTCATGCATCCCAGGCACTGTGAATACAACCAGCAACAAAGAAACACAGAGAAGAGAAAGGCAAGTCTTAGGGGAGAGACTGTGTTTTCCATACCCCACAGACTTTGCAGGCTATACAGTTTGGCCTTCCTAAGAAAAGAGGGAAATAGGAGTCTAGCCTAACCTCTTGGTCCAAGGATACCTCCCCAACTACTAGGAGACCCCACACACAGAACAGGTAAACCAAGGAGGCACAAGGTACATGTAGAAGCATAGAGAGGGAAGGTTCTATAGAAAAGCCCTGACCAAAACAACAACAACAAAAAAACCCTTATGTAACATGTTTCTGGAAGCCTAACCAGCTACAATGACTAATAATAAATTGGGAGTAGGGAATGTTCTTTCTCTATCTAAGCAAAGGATGCTAACTAACATATAGAACTGATATCAATATCCCCCTTTTTCCTACCCATAAATTAAAGGAAGAGCAGTGACACTGTTAGCAGAGGGCTTGGTTTCAACCCTTGTGGTTCACAAGGGAATCTGGACCTGATGTGAAGAGACCAAGGGCAGGTACAGTGAACCAAGGTAGAGGTCAGAATAAGGTCTATTTAGGAAAACAAGAAAGGTGTCATAGTGAGTATGAGACTTGGAAAGACTAAATGCAGATCTACAAGGACTGCAAAGACAGGGGGCCACAGGGCCATTGTTAGAAGTTAGCACTGGCAGACACAAAGAAGGAGGTATGGTTTCCAAAAGACATTTCTAAGTCTAACCCAAGTTGTGCCTAGCACAGTCACCTCAAGAATGAAGGGCAGAACAGGGATGAAGGTGCCGATGGTCTGGGACAGCAATGTCAGGGCACGTACACAATGCATGCGCAACGGATAAAAGCGGGCAGTGGGTAACAACCTGGAGAGAAAAGGAGCAGAGCCTAGTCAGGTAGCCAGGCCCAAACATCAGTGTTAGCTGCCCACTG